AATATAAAAGCCTGCTGACTTTGTTACTTCCCTGTGTATGTTGACATTAAATTTCTTTGATATAGCTTAATTATCCTGAAAATCTGTAGCTTTCCGTTTCCTCTTATCTCCAGGAGACTATTTTAAACTTCTCTACTTATATGATGTGTACCTGTAGTCCCATAGATTGACCTCACTGCTGCTTATGAACGTCTGCCTTGTATGCAATGGCCACCACATGTCAATGGCCTTGCCTAGCCATTAGTTTTGGCTTCTCTGACCTGCTTTGACCCAACACCACACTAACTAACTTAATGGCCTGGTCATTTGCCTGTGTGCTCCCAGATCCATCCATGCTTTGCCCTTTCCATGCTGTCTGTATAGCATACAGTTGATTCCTGCTAGCTCTATTTTCTAAGCACATTTCCCATACCCCAAAGGAATCAAGCCAATGAAAGATAAAAGTTGACCTTGGGAGAAAACAATATATGCCCCTCACCTATCCCTACCAACCTATTCCTCTCCACACTGTAGTTTGATTTTGGCAGCTTCTTCACAGGCTGACTTCGCTCTGCATTTGTGGCTGAGGATTCTGTTAATGCATGCTTCAGAGATGTCTTCAGCCCTATAAATGGATGGTAGAGGCTTGCTACTATTGCTGTCATCTGAAGTGACCCCTTCTTTCTCAGTTTGACTTTTCAGCTCTTCCAGCACCTTTGTATCTTGTTCCTGATATTAAATGCCCTCAACTGAACACCTGCTGTAGTCTCTGATTTCTGAAAGGACCCCATCTCAGATACTGAGGTGATGGCACCTGGCCAATTGTTAGGCAAAGAGCAAAATAATAATCATAATGACAAAATGTAGGGCTGGGGATGTGGCTCAAGTGGTAGCGCACTCGCCTGGCATGTGTGCAGCCCGGGTTCAATCCTCAGCACCACATACAAACAAAGATGTTGTGTCCGCCGAAAACTAAAAAATAAATATAAAAAAAAAATAATGACAAAATGTAGGTTTTGCAAGGCTTGTATCCCATAATGTTCAGTGAAGGCATAACATTACTAATGAACATGTCATTGAAAACAGAACAAAGGAGACAGAACCATTTGTATTTTATTTAAAACCACTTTCATTTACTTCTTATTTTCATTCTTTAGCAATCTCCCCTCAGTAGAAGAATCATGGGAAATGGAACAGAATGTACAAAGAATGATGCCCACACTGAGCCCCAATAGTACCAAGTGGAGTTGCTTTTACAAAAGAAAAAATGTCATCATCACTAGAATAAGTTAAAAAAAATCCATTCCACACTGCTGGTTCTCTAGGACCCCTACTGTCTTCCCACCAGAAATTCTCTCTTGTTCCCTCTGCATTAACTTGATCTTTCCATGACACAAAGGCATGTAAAAAATCAAATAACGTAGTCAAGTCATGTAACAAGTTAAGCTTACTATAAGGAAGAGTCCAGGACAGTTTTCACTGGCCTAAATTGCCCAGAAATGACCTGTGCTTTGAAAAAAACCTATGCTTTATATAAGATTGAGGGTACTGTTTCATGACCTGGGGCAGAGTTTGGTTCATCATGTCTAATTTCTCTACCAATCCTTTCTGATATTGTTAAAATGGGATAGAACTATCCTTTAACAAGACCATGTGTTAGACTGCTTGGACTGCTCTAACAAAGTATCACAAACTAATGACTTAAGCAACACAAATTTATTGTTTGACAATTTGAGAGCCTAGAGGTCTGAACTCAAGATAGGATCTGTCCTCTCCGAAGACTATGAAGGGGAATCTTTCCATGCTTTTTTCCCAGCTTCTGCAGGTTGGCTGGCAATCTTTGGTGTTCGTAGACTGCCACTGTATCACCCATCTCTGCTTTTATCTTCACCTGTCATTCTCCCTGTGGGTGTGTCCATACCATATTCAAATTTCCCTTTAGGAAATTCAGGTGCAGTATTATACACCGGTAGTCCCAGCACTTGGGAGTCTGAGGCACGACAATTACATGAACCCAGGATTTTGAGACCAACCTGGGAAACACAATGAAAAGTTGTCTCAAAAAAAAAAAAAAAAATCCCTTGGGCTGGGATTGTGGCTCAGTGGTAGAGCGCTTGGCTAGCATGCATGAAGCACTGGGTTCGATCCACAGCACCACATAGAAGTAAACAAAATAAAGATATAAAAAATATTTTTTAAAAAATCCCCTTGTCATAAGGATGCCAGTCACATTAGATTAGTGCCCATCCTAATGACCTCTTTTTAACTTGATTTCTTCAGTAAATATGCTATCATCTCCAAATAAAGTCACAATTGGAGGTACAGGGGTTAGGATTTCATCACATCCTTTTGGGGGCACACAACTCAGTCCATGACCAGCCATTTATACAAATAAACTCACTATTTCTGAACCCTTTTTTTTCCATATCCGTCTATCCACTTTTCTCCACCATGTGCTTTGGCAGATCTATGGTCAGGAAAATATATGGTGTACTCATTCACACTGAGATATAAATGACCAAAGCTGCCTTTGTGTATTTATGACATACAATGGTCCACAAGACTATAAAGCAATGATATGAAAGTCATAATTTTTAATATGTCATCCCTCCTAAAAATGTCTGAATTTTAACAAATCATAAGGAATGATACTTATTCCTTACTATAACATAAATGGTAGCAAATTGGGGGTTATGAGTAAAAACTTACTAAGAAATCCTTGATTGTCATTGCAATTACATAAAAACTGCCTTTTCTTTTAATTGCAAAATAAATTTGATCATATGATGATATACACTCATAATTTTCTCTCTCTCTCTTTTTGAGCTAGAAGTTGAACTCACAATGTCATACATGAAGCACACACTCTACCACTGAGCAAGACCCCCAACTCCTGCTCTTTATTTTTTTGAGATGGAATCTCACCATGTTGCCCAGGCTGGTCTCAAGCCTCTGGGCACAAGCCATCCTCTTGCCTCAGCCTCATGGGTAGCTGGTACTACAGGTGCATGTCACCACACCCTGTACACTCAGAATACTCTATTAAATACTACATAAATCTGTTCTTTAACACTAACAAAATAGACAAATATTCATGAAGGGAATGCAAACATGGTAGCTACTGACATCATTAGTATTATTTCATCAGTGATTCAGAAACTATTAAATAAGCAAACTATTGAAACCACACAAACCAAGAACAGCTTCCTTTCAGATCCATGTCCTTCAGAAATGCAATTAGGAGTCATATTTACACACAGTATCTAATTTTTTTAATCTCAAGAATGTAGAATATGATAACACAATTACCATCTTTAAGAAAAATTTAAATCAAATGGACGTAAGAACTGAAAAGCATAACTTGAAAAACTTGACTTCATGTGCTATGATCTTAAAACATAGTCATTTTTCATTTTTCATGGGAGTTATATTCTTTTTTTTATATTGATTAGTTGTAGTTGGACACATTATCTTTATTTCATTCTTATGTGATGCTGAGGATCGAACCCAGGGCCTCACACGTGCTAGGCAAGCGCTCTACCACTGAGCCACAATCCCAGCCCCTCATGGGAGTTATATTCTATAGTCACTTTGAATACTGAATCAGCACATTCTGAACCATTTATTTAAGGAACATACACGGTTAAGTTCCTGCAAGCTTCTGGTCACATTTTTATTAATCAAGTACATAGTCTTGTTTTCTGTGTTTCTGTTTACAGATGCTTCATTTAAAATATATTATCAATTCATTAACATTGATATCACAGCTGATAGCACTGTAATTCATGCCTAAATGATACTTATGTAACATATATTTTCTCCATAAGACCCATCAAAACCTTCAGGTGGTTAGGATCACTAGACAGCACTTAGTACTGTGGTTAGGGGCCACATTAAACAATAAAATTACCATCAAAAAGAACAAAAACCTGAAAAATATGGCACTTCTATAAGTATCAAAAAAGTACACTAATCTACAGTGAAGGCTAAAACAAGGAGGCAAACTGTACTCTTGTTCATACTCAGCCATAAACACATGTGATCAGCAATTCAAACTTTTTCCTACTCTGCACATATCCTCAAAAGATTGAAAGGTGATGCAGGCATTGATTTGGGGTTACAAATAAATTTTAGAGTAGGAGTATTCACAAATACTGAACCACAAATAATGAGGTGTACTTCACCCTGACTTTTATTGCCCATATGACAAAAAAGTGGGGGGGTGTCTTTATTTTCCTGGTAAAATACGTTATTTACATTTACAGTTCATATTTGTGATGTGAGACTTCAAGGAATGTTAGATAAGTATAATTAATATCCAAACCCTGATCTTGGACAGAGGGACTGGATTTCTATATGTCTCAGTTCATTATTCATAAAGTAACAGTCTTGGAACATATCTTTATCCATATATCTATATCTATACCCACATGGGTTTTTAAAATCTATTTTTAGGACTTAGAGAACAACTCTCACATTTAAATAAACTAAATGTCAGGGAAATAGATAAGAAATAGTACTCCGTGAAGATATAGGATAGCCTTATTATCGGATTATTTTACTATTTTTTAAATATTTATTTTTTAGCTTTAGGTGGAAACAATACCTTTTATCTTATTTTTATATGGTGCTGAGGATCGAATCCAGTGCCTCATGCATGCCAGGCAAGTGCGCTACTACTTGAGCCATATCCCCAGCCCTTACTATTTTTTTTTCACATTTTGATTTTTCAACCATGAGAATGTATTAAAAATAACTCAAGTATAAGAGGAATATGGAGGGGGAGGGGACAAAGGGAAAAGGAAGGAGAAAAAGAAAAAGAACTCCTATCAGGCATTTCATGTTCTATATGATAGAGGGCAGATATTTTAAACGTGGTTTTATATACTATACTATACTATATATACTATATATAGTATCTATATACTATACTATATAACCACTAACTCAAAAAAGTTTCCATATTTGCATATTGTATAAATAAGTCCTTATATTTATATTCTTTTTTTTTTATATTTTAGTTTTCGGTGGACACAGCATCTTTATTTTATTTGTATGTGGTGCTGAGGATCGAACCCAGCGTCCCGCGCATGCCAGGTGAGCGCGCTACCGCTTGAGCCACATCTCCAGCCCTATATTTATATTCTTACAAACTGTGTCCTTATTAAGCATTTAATGAATAACAGGGACAGTTGCTAGTATATTATTCTTTTTTTTTTTTCTTATTCCCATGACAGTTGCTAGTATATTTTTTTTCCTTATTCTCATGGACTATCAGTGGACCCACCATGAAGTGCCAATATTAAACCATTTATACTTACAAAAAATGTCTATGTCTTGTGGTTGACCTAATATTAATGTCCTCATTTTAATGATGAGGAGAAAAGCTGAGACTGCCCACTGACACATGCAGTTGGCAAAGAGACTTTTGACCTGAACCTAGAGTTCCTGATTTCACTGAGTAGTAGGTGTAAATTTCAGACTATAAAAGTAAACACATGATCCAGGCACGGCATGGTGGTGCATGCCTGAAATCCCAGGTATTTTGGAGGCTGAGGCAGGAGCATCACAAGTTCAAGGTCAGCCTGAAAAATTTACTGTAGACCCTTTCTGGAAATCTGATGAACAGGGCTGAGGATGTGGCTCCATGATAGAGCATCTACCTGCCTGGCAGGTGGGGAGGCCATGGATTCAGTAACCAGTACCACACACAAAAAAAGCAAATGCATAACTTTCTTTTTCTAAAATGCCACCACATGGTAGAAACTTGACATCAATTAACTTGAGATTTTCTCCCCTCACCACTTCCCACACAATCCAGAATATTTAGGTGGTGCCTCTGGCCCACACCTGGTTCTTCCCAGGTGTTCCTTGTTCTCCCCAGGTGCTTCTTATTGTCAGGCAATCGAGGTCTACCTTATAGACCATCTTTTCTGAAACTGCTAAGGCTCTCCTGGATCCAGACAATTGTCTAGTCTCAGGAAGGAGAGAAATCTGGCTCTGATTTACTGTTGTATTCCACAAACTTTGAGTCCCTTCAAGGCATTGTCTTTAAATTCCAGAATCTTAATTTTGGGTTTTTTAAATACTCTTCTCTGAGATGCTTCTTTGCTATGGTTTCAAAGTTTATTTTGACATGCAAAAAAAAAAAAAGAATCAGGAATCTGTGTTTTCTTTTGTTCTTTCCTTGAGGCACTAAAGCAATAAAGGGAAAATAACTAGTCATTGGAATAGTGAGAACGAGGGGAGGGGAAAAAAATAACAGGAAGGAGTCTAGGGACAGAGGAGGAAAACAATAGTTAATGTTCAAAACACTGTCCTGCCACATACATTCGCTGTTCTTTTCTTAATACAGCTTCTCAAGTAATTCTCAAACTTGAAAGTGTCTAAGAAATTGTTTGAGGTTAAAATGCATAGTCCTCATTTTATTTGGAGAATCCTACATTGGACTAGTGGAAACAGGCTAATATATAAGGTTATGTTAATGTCCATATGTGAACAAGTCCAAGGTGAAGTCAGAGTTTGCAATCTTATAAAAGAGAAGGAAATATTTCAGGCAGCTGAACCAGAAATTTTTTCCTCATTTTTTTAATTGGCACATTACAGTTGTACATAATGGTGGGATTTGTTCTTACATATTTGTACATTCACACAATATAGCAATATAATTTGACCAGTATCACTCTCCAGCACTTCCCCCTCCCTCCCTTCCTCCTACCTCCAAATCCCTTTCCTCTCTTCTACTGTTCTCCTTTGATTTTCATGAGACAACCCCACCTTTCTTTTCCTTTTTCCTCTCTAGCTTCCACACATGAGAGAAAACATACAACCCTTGACCTTTTGAGTTTGGTTTATTTTGCTTAACATAATGATCTCAAGTTCCATCCATTTTCCTGAAAATGGCATAATTTAATTTTTCTTTATGACTGAATAAAATTCCATTGTATACGTATATCACATTTTCTTCAAACATTCATCCATTGATAGGCACCTAGGCTGGTTCCATAGTTTGGCTATTGTGACTTGTACTGCTATACACAAGTGCATGCATATATCACTATAGTGTGATGACTTTAATTCTTTAGGATAAATACCAAAGAGAGTAATTGCTGGATCATATGGTGATTCTATGCCTAGTCTTCTGAGGAATATCCATACTGATCTCTATAGGTGGTTGTACTAATTTACCATCCACCAACAGTGTAGAAGAGTATTCCTTTTCTCCACATTTCTCCCAGCATTTTTTGTTTTCTTTCCTCCCTTCCTTTCTTTCTCTTCTCTTACCTCTCCTCTTCTCTCTCTCTCTTTGATACTGGGGATTGAACCCAGGGATGCTTTACCTCTGAACTACATCACCAGTCCTTTTATTTTTATTGTGAAACAAGGTCACGTTTAGTTGCTGAGTCTGGCCTTGAACTTGCAATCCTCCTCCCTTAGGCTCTAAAGCCACTGAATTACAGGCATGCACCACCATGCCTGGGTTATTATTGTTTATATTCTTTTTTTAAATATTTTTTTTGTTTTAGGTGGACACAATATTTTTATTTATTTATTTTTATGTGGTGCTGAGGATCGAACCCAGTGCCAGGCCAGCATGCTACCACTTGAGCCACATCTCCAGCCCCTTGTTTATATTCTTGATGACTGCCATTCTGACTAGAATGAAATGAAATCTCAGTGTAGCATTTCCCTAATTGCTACTAATTTCTAATATTTCTTTTTTCATATATGAAACTGAAATTTATTTTTCCACCAAGAATTGAATTAACAATCTAGCCCTGTTGAAATAGCAAAGCCCATTGGAACTATAGTTCTGTGTCCAGTTTGCTTGGCCTGTAGTAGCAGATTCAGATGTGGTGCTAGGCCATTTGTAACCAGACTCTTGTGAGTCAGAGTTCCGTCAAAATGGCCTGACAGCTGAGTGTTATGATGCATGTCTGCAGTCCTAGCTACTCAGGAGGCTGAGGTAGCAAGATTGCTTGAGCCTAAGAGTTCAAGGCTAGCCTAAACAACATAGGGAGAAAAACAAAACAAAAATGGCCTGGCAGATCAAAGGAGAGTCAAGCAAACTGTAGTGCCATGCTACATGCAGATTGCAAAGGAGAGGAAGGAACTGGGGAAACAGTATAATTAGAATCATTTTAAGCTCTCTAGTGGGAGGAACAGCAAAATATTCTATATTTGGAATGTCCTGGCAACTTGAAGTTCTAAGGTGGTAGTAGGGGTAAGGGAACAAAGAGAAGGGAAGAATAAAAGAAGGCTCAGACATCCAAGGGGAGGAATTTGATCAGATAGCTTAACCAATCAAAGAAACTGTTCTAGACAAAAGAATAGTAAAACATCTCTCCTAAGTAGTACAAGGAGAAATATGATGTAAGAGAAAAAAAAAATGAGAGAATGTGGAGAAGGGTTTGCCAGGGCAGACAGAACTAAGATGGAAATAGATTGAATACCTGTAGGAGATGAAATAAAAATTGTTTTGTTTTTTTTTTTGGGGGGGGTAAAAAATATTTCACAAGTATAAAATCTCTAGGCATGCTATTAATGTTTGATTTAGATTATACAGCTTTTACGTTTGCCATATATCTTTCTTAAAAAAAAAAAAAAAAAAAAAAAAAACTTAAAAGGGCTACCTATCCAGCCCTTTCCTGGACACAGTTCCTTGAAGGATTATGGAGCCTCATATAGTCTCAGAGAATTTCCTCTTCTGGAGTCTAATTTTGCTCTTTACCTGATCCTGCCAAACTGAGAAAATAAACATGAGTTGTTTCTTCCATACGGAATAACTCTCAAAACCACTCTAGTTCTTAACAAAGAGGCAAAAATAGCAATGTTTGAAGTTTTTCTGGTAAAAGCTTTCTTCTTATACAAATAATCCTTCCCAGTTGTATAGCACTTTATACTTTTAAAAATACTTTCAGATGCATTACCTTATTTGAATTTCAGTGAATTCTAGCCATAAAAGGAATTTTCTATATTATGGGTTTTTATGTACTGCTTTTTCTGCTATCAAAACCAATAAAATGTTTGACATGGATAATTGGTTTCTTAAAACCTCAATACTCTCAACCTTTCACTGTTTTCTCTTTAGTTTTCCCCTTTCTCTATTTATAACTAGAGAGCATTTTATGCTATTGCTCAGTTTTCTTGATTCTGCCAAAATTACTCAGCTGAGTAACATCCCAAGACCTAGAAAAAGTTTCCGTGGTGATAAATATCTGGCCTTCTATGTTAAAGCTGTCCTGGTCATTCACTGGTAGTTGGAGATTAACTGTGGGCTGAAGCTGTGGAAGGCCATTAGGGGCTATCAACCACTTTAAAAGCCAGACTAAGGCTTGGATTCAAACCCTGGATTTATCATTTTTTTTTAATTATTATTATTATTTTTTAATATTTACTTTTTTTTTTTTAGTTTTCAGCGGACACAACATCTTTGTTTGTATGTGGTGCTGAGAATCGAACCCGGGCCGCACGCATGCCAGGCGAGCATGCTACCGCTTGAGCCACATCCCCAGCCCCTGGATTTATCATTTAATAGCTATGTGGTGTCCTCTGTAAATGATGACATCCACTTGTCCTCACTTGTAAAGTTTCTAGGTGCAGGAGAGTTCCTGTCTTACAGTGGGCATTGAATGAGTTTTATGTCTCACAGAAGGAAGACTGTTGAAGAGAAGAGTCACCCACAGTTTAGGAGATAAGGACTGGACTATATCTTCTTGATGGAAGTAGAAATGGGAACTTCTTAAACTCTGGGGCCCTTGTATGCCCTGCTAAACTCTGACCAGCCACCACACCTGCCAAAACCAGACAACCTTCTGAAAATAAAATAGACAACACACTTGGGCTAGTCATAAGGCACCTGCACACCAAAAATCCCAAGTTATCCTCAGCTGTGCACAGCAGATGGCCCCAATTAGCCCCAGAATTATGCAACAGCAAACCCAAACATTGCTAGCCAATTAACATCACTCAGGCATTTTACTTTCCTAAAATATGGGATAGAGAGTTTTGAGTGCTTTGGCTTATAGAAAACAAAAACAAAAACCATACCCCTTTTCTGTAAACCTCACTGGAGAGTGTTTTCTAGACCTTTACCTATTTCTGAGCTAGGTTCTCCACTTGGCAATAAAGCTTTTCCACTCAGTCTCAATCTTAGGTCTCTAATACTCATTATTTTTCTTTAACAGCAAACAGAAAGAAGTCATTTCTTAGTCTTGGCAGAAGACATGGCAATTATTCCCCTATGGGAGAAAATAAAAGAAAGCCCCAGTGAACTTGCCATGATAGCTATTGATGCTTTGCATAAAAGAGAACAAAACTATAAGAACAGTCACAAGGTTGGAATAAGTTGCTTCAACAGGACAATCAATCTCTCTGACTAGCCTGATTCAGTGTCAGAGAAGCTATACTGAGTATTTACATTGGCCAAAACTGCATTAGAAGCCAAAAAAATGAAAATGAGTAAAACATGGTCCATATCCTAAGGGCTTCAACACCTCATGGGAGCTGGGCATGGTGGTGCACACCTCTAGAATCCCAGTGATCCTAGAGGTTGAGGCAGGAGGATTGCAAGTTCGAGGCCAATTTGGTGACTTTGTGAGAACTTGTCTCAAAATAAAATATAAAAAGGGCTGAAGGAATAGCTCAGTGGGTAGGGTGCCCTTGGGTTCAATCTCCAGTACTGTCAGAATAAACAACAACAACAACAAAAATGCCTAAAGGGAAAAGATAAACACATAATGTAACACATCATGATATTGGTTGATACTGAAAAAGACCCAAAATGAAAAGTACTCCGGAGGAGTACTCTGGTGAGTGGTCAATTCTAACTGTGGAATAAAAGAGAAGACTTCACACAGGGGAAATACTGATGTTAATTAGGACCTTCATGTTGGTTCTAGCAAGTAGTTATTATGTGAAAATGAAACAAATTATGGAGTTTACTGACAATTCAAATTTATCCTAATTCTTCTATTTTTATTAATCTTTTAAATTTGTACATAAATATTTATTTCACAAATATGTATTTATATATGTTATCTATACCCAGGTTTATGGATGTGTGTGAATTTATGTATATATAAAATAAATTTATGTATTCATATATGTATATGAAATACTATGCTTTTGTAACTTGTTTCTGCTTCTCTGGTATAGGTTCAAGTGCTTAAATGCTTGAAGCTGTTTTTTCTGCTATGTATTGTAGATACGCATGGTGATTTCTTTTGCATAAACTAAAACTTGGATCACTCTCCATTATACACTCATGAACTGTATAATGTCATTTTGGTCAACAATAGGCTGTATATGATGGTGGCTATTCCATAGCCTATCTGTGTATAGGATACACCAGCTAAGTTTGTGTAAGTATATTCTACGATGTTTGCACAATGACAAAATTACCTGCTGACAAACATATTCCTATTTTTAAGTGACTACATATATTTGTATATGCATGTATACTTCCTTTTACATGAATTCTAATACTACCTTCCTTTCTTCTTTTGCAAGACTTCCATCTTCATTTTCCACTCTGTATTTTCTTTATCATGCTTGTCTTATAGTTTGCCTGCATCAACCATTTTGAGACTTGGCAACGTGCACCAGGATCCCTGGAAAAGAGAGCACTGGAGAGGCCCAGAGTTGTAATCTTTCATATAACCCTGCTCCTACTTTTAAGTCTTCATGCAGTTCAGCAACTTGCAAATAGGTTTGCACTTTGAAAAGTGCTTCTGTCTTTACTGAACAGAGGTGGTTTATGTGTAGCACTGCTCTCTTGTTAGCCCTTAGGAGCATTTTTGTTTAATAATATATTTGCTGGAGCTCTCTGCTTCAACCTTTCTAATGTTGTCCCTTCTTCAACTGTCTCTGGGTCAAGATGATCCAAAAAGAAAGGATTTATCCTGTTCCCTTTACTTTACCAGGAAGAAAGTTCCAAGTAATGTCACCTGAAAAGGTTCCCTGATTAGGACAAAGACTATTTTCTGCACTATTCCAGGAAGCACCCTTCCCAGCTACTGAGATTAAGTCACAGAAATTTACTTATTCATCATTACAAGCCCACTCTTGAGTAGTGGAGCAGCCCTGTTGGAAGCTTGCCTCAAGTCCCTTCTATTATATAGGCCACAAAAGCACTTTTCAAACTGTAATGCATCATACAAGTACAGGATATTATTGCAATTATAATAGAAACTGCAACCCATTAATAAGCAAGTCTTCCCAGGGTGTGGTGGTGCATGCCTGCAGTTCCAGCTACTGAGGAGGCTAAGGTAGGAGAATGGTTTGAGTGCATGATTTCAAGACAAGCCTGGGAAACATGGTAAGACCCCCATCTTAAAAAAAAAAAAAAAAATTGAAGAATAAGTCTTTGTGCACAGGTCACATCCATCCCTTTTTCCTTTAGCACCATATATATGAATGACTCTGGGCCTAATTTATTCTAGGTACATATGTGTTTTGATTATCATCTAGCATTTATATCATTTATAAATATCTTCAGATTTAAAGGGGAAAAAAAATCCCGTGAACAGATTTGCCTACCTACCTCTGTAGAGCTAAAACATACACTAGTAATTTACAAGAAATAAGAACTAATTCTGTCAAATCAACTGGCTCCTAAAGGTAATTTCCAAATCCTCCATGTTTACCTTTTCTCCTTTAAATTTTCATATTCTAATTTTTCCTTGTCATCTCCTTCCCATTTAGGCTGAAAATACTTGTTATTCTTATGGCAGTATAAGGCATATGACACAATATCAAATGGTAATATTCACTAATTAATGGAATTATATCAATGAAACTGTTGAATTTTAAGTGTGGCATACCAAATTGTATATTACACTATGATTAAAACAAAGTAAACATCGTATATGTACTCCCCAGCGCCCCCCCACACCGTGTGTGTGTGTGTGTGTGTGTGTGTGTGTGTGTGTGGAGTTGGGGGGCAGATACAATTGAGAAGGAATATACAGAAACAAAAGAATTATTATACAGCAATATAGGAATTATCAGTGACTTAAAAAAAATCCCTTGTAAAAAATTTAAGTCTGGCTGGGAATGTAGCTCAATATAAAGCACTTGCCTAGCACAAGTGAGGCCTTGGGTTCCATCCCCAGTACAGCCCCCACCTCAAAAATAAAGTCTATTTAATAAGAAAGAAAATGGATGCCTTTGGGTTTATATGTTTATGCCACTGAGCTTCCTTCCCTCTGCCTCCCATCTTCTACCTTTGCACTTTCTTTTGTGATTCTTGCCCCTCCCCTCACCAAGTGTTTGAATGTAAGAAGCCATCTGCTTCTGTTATTTATCCTGACCACACATTCTGCATAAGCGACAAGTGGGGTCAGTATCCAAATCCTGGTTGCTTCTTCCTGTGTGTTTCTTCTCTGAAGTGTGATCTGCACAGTTAAGCACTGTAGATGAGCCTTGAGTCACATTCCCTGATTGTCTCCTTCAAGCTCCCTCATCAGTGTGACAAGGAAACTGAAAGACAATATCCTTCTCACCTTCAGCCTTTCACTTATTTGCACAGATGGCCCAATCTGAAATCCGTCCTGGGGCAGAATTAAAAACAGTTTTCCTAATCCCTTTCTTTGGTGTGTCCCCTAATTCCCCTTTAACCACAAAATTATTCTCTTTGCCCCTTTACAGTATACTTTGTGCCTTGTGAGTCATGCTTCAGGAAATTTTTTTTGCTTGCTTTGCAGTAAGCTTAAAAAACCCAAGAATTTAAAAATATTAGTGCTTCTCAATTCCCAATGGCTTCCATTTTAGTTTTGAAAATGCCATTGTTAATATATCATGTTTATGTAGGCAAAAGTATGCCAAAATATAAAATCTTGTGATAGAACGATAACTACTGAGTTAACAAGGGAGGCTATAATATAATGATAAACATTGCAATAAAAGAAAGTCTGTAATATACTAGGTGTTAATGGATTAAAAATATTTAAGAGGAGCAAATATGTTATAATAAGAAGAATTTAAAAAGTTGAGTGATCTGTGGATATGTGTTCCTTTGTCAATTTCTACTGTTTGTATGCCTGTGTTTTTTCACAATTTTTAAAAGATTTCATTGTTAAAATTTCCTATTGCGTTTTGCTGACCATTTGAACTATTTTACATATACTATTGAAATCTTGCAGAAAAATAGCAATGAGATAAGTTTGAAGGTGAAAGGAGAGAGAATCTTTACAAAGTGGGGAGTTGTGGGAGACAAGTTGCAGTTAACAGAACAGTTAAACTAAACAAAGGTAGATAAATTACAGAAGTTACAAAGAAGAACTAAAGTGAGTTACCTAAACAATAGAGGAACTAAAAGTGAGACACCCATCCTGGGAGGGAGGAGGGTGTAAGTGAACTAAGCTCTCATCTAACAGAATAGGAAGGAAGTCCACAGATCAGATAAAGTCTGATAAATAAAGAAGTGGCAATATGACTGTATTATTTAGAGATAGGGAAGTAACCACCCAGAAGAATTTTTTAAAATGTAACTGTTAAAAAGTTAGACTTTCTCTAGAGTTTTAGTGGAAGGCAAAATGATGTTGTAGAAACAAGACATAGCAGCAAAGCATCCTTACATTCCACAATAAACTCTTCAACCTGAACTACATTTTTGTTGTTGGTTTTTTTGTTTTGTTTTGTTTTTTGTTTTTTGGTACCAGGTATTGAGTCCAGAGGGGCTTAACCACTGAGCCACATCCCCAACCCTTTTTTATATTTTATTTAGAGACAGGGCCTCACTAAGTTGCTGAGGCTGACTGTGAACTCTCGATCCTGCCTCAACCTCCTGAGCCACTGGGATTACAAGTGTGTGCCACCACGTGTGACCTGAACTACATTTGATTACAAAAAAATATATATATATATATTTAAAGGGGAGTGTGTAGCTCAGTTGTAGAGTGATTGCTTACCATTTATGAGGCTATGGGTTCAATCCCCAGCAGTGGAGGGGGGAGGAAATAGATATATATCAATAATGCAATAGTAAGGCTGTTAAACCCAAGAAATAAAATACTCCTCTCTTTAATACTCCAGCCTAATTATTTTTCACTTCTTGAGCTATTTTGCATGCACTATGATAAGTTATATACCTCTTCATCTTTTAATTGGTATTCTGAAATTACCCTTTAATTGCTTTCCTGTTTTTTTTCTTCCTCTTATTTTTTGCTATTTGCAAACATTTTAGAAATGATTTCTCTATACTTAAATTTGAAGATGATTTTTTTCTTTTATGGGAAGCTTGTTTCTGATGGACTGTTGGGTGAAGTAAGTAAGGCTCCTACAATCGACAGGGTTTAAAGTGCCTATGACAAATGCATACAGACAGAAATTAGAGTCTGGAGCCAAGGGAGGAGAAATGGAGAGTAACTAATGGGTTGTCATTGTCTTTTAGGGAGGGGTGATGAAAATGTTTCTGAATTTAAGAGTGGTGATGGTTACATGTCTTGTGAATGTATTAAAATCCACTGAATTTTATACTTTAAAGCAATTAATTTTCTTATGTGAAATATCCTATCATAAAAATACCTTTAAAAATATTGTAAGGAAATAAAGTAAAATAATAATTATTGTCGGGGCTGGGGTTGTAGCTCAGTGGTAGAGCGCTAGCCTAGCATGGGTGAGGCATGGAGTTCGATTCTCAACACCACATATAAATAAATAAAATAAAGGTCTATCAACAACTAAAAAAATTTTAAATAATAATAATTATTATTATTGTATTAAAAGATGTGGGTATTTTTTCTTTTTTGTGGGGAAGTATCTGGGATTGAACTCAGGGGCACTGGACCACTGAGCCACATCCTCAGCCCTATTTTATATTTTATTTAGAGACAGGGTCTCACTGAGTTGCTTAGCACCTCGCTTTTGCTGAGGTTGGCTTTGAACTCTCGATCCTCCTGACTCAGCCTCCCAAGCTGCTGTGATTACAGATGCATGCCACCATGCCCAGCATGTGAGTATTTTTTCTATCTTCTGTTTTCCTAAATTTTGGTAATGTGATAATTTCATAATTCAAGTAATATCATAAAATTAGCATTATTAGCATTAGTATGCAGTATCATCTTCAAACATCTCATTTTTCCTCCTAGTTCCATGATACTTTTTATTTTCTCATACATGTTAGGATGAATAATTGTTCACATTTTAATCTGTTTTCTTTATAATTTGGGTTTTTGTGTTACTCTGAGAAAGGGTTTCACTCTGTGGGTATTATAAAATCATTTCTGTGAATTTCATTCCTCGTAATTTTACAATTTGGGTATGTGTGTGTGTGTGTGTGTGTGTGTGTTTAACTGAGGGTCTCACACATACTAAATACTTGCATTACCCCTAAGCCACACCCACAATTTGCTTTTTTATTAAAAAATGTTTGAGTCCTTGATCTTTCTGGAATGTAGCTTATTATATGGTATTAGAGAGAATTAATGTTACTTTTCTAATAAATTAGTTGTCAAACTAATTATTTTAAACACTAATTTAGTATGCTACCTTTGTGAATACACATGCATGCCTACATAATATCCTCTAAATATTGTACATATATTTTTTTAATTTCTACAGTTTCATTTCTCTTTTTTAAATGCAAATTAGTCTCTCTCCTATATCCAAGTTTGGTTTCAGAAAACCCCACTGTAGGAGAATTCATTGTTACAGAACTTAGGCCTTTATGAGAAAAACTAGTTTAAGGAAAGCAATCATCATTAAACAAAGGAAAAAAATATATATTTTTTTCCTTAGACATTTATTTAAAGAAAACATACATTTGGCACACAGTCTGCTTCTAAAATTAGTAATTAATGTTCATTTACTCTTTCTTTAGGGGAACTTTCTAGAAGTTCTCTTTTATGGAGTTTCAGCAAGAAGCATGATGATTTCATTTTATAGAACATAGTGTTCATGATGAATCTTTTTTTCTGTTCATTGTGATCACTACATTACTGATTTTTTGACTTGACGTAGTTGTCTTCTACTATTTTCTCTCAAAATGATCCCAAAGAAAAGATGGGAGTTAAATGGAAATACATGTTTGATGTCTGAAGCTGTACAGATCTACTTCAGATCTGGTTTGGCCATAGAATGTGTGACCTTGGGCAAGAAAGGTGACTTTTATAAGTTAGGTTTCTCCATCTACAAACTAATGAGAATGATAGTAGCTGTGTATCAGTTCACTTTGCATTGCTATAACAGAACACTATAGGTACTTTATAAGGGGTAAAATTTATTTCTCACAGTTCAATAGGTAGGAAGTCCAAGATCAAGGTGCAAGCAGGTTTGTGTCTGGAGAACAAAGAGAACCCACTTCCACAGGCCCTTTTATAACAATATTGATCCATTTGTGATCCTCCCATTAGACCCTTCCTTTCCAAAGCTGTTGCACTGGGCATTAAGTTTCAAACACATGAAATTGGAGGGAATCAAATGATTCAAACTATAGTAACCTGCTTCACAGGATTATTGAAAAGCATGAAATGAGCTAGAACATGTAATATCCGTAGCCCAATGCTTGGTGATAATTCATGTTAAATGTTCATCAATATTTATTAATGAGATGTTTATTAATATCATTTCAATTTCACTACAAAGAAAAAGGCTTTATTTGTGTGATTGGAGTAGGGGTGTTGTGAGGATACTCACGAAAATAAGGACTTTAGGAACTTAGGGAGACATGAGGAGAATCTATTGAATCAGGTTCTTGGGCACTGAAAATCACTTAGGAACTAGAAACATCCAGAAAACAGTCACTAATGTGAGTCATTCTTGCTTCCTTGGCCAGGTCAAGAATTCCATGAGTGAGGTGATTCAGCACGCCTCCGTCTGTGCCACAGCATTCCTATTGTGCTAATTAACTTCTTGACTTTCTGAGGAAATCCTTTCATTTCTACTTACCTATGACTTCTGTTTGTTCATGATTGATTATTCTTCTTTCTGATAACTTGAAACTTCAAATTATTTTGTCAGTTCTACTCAAATTTCTAAGAGATAGTGTCTTGTCTTTGTAGTATTCCTACTTGATAAACCACCTCAGAGGCCAAAAGCCCATCTAAATACTGGTCACTGTTAGATCATGTGTATGCTCCTGGTTCTAGTCAGCCAAGGTAGGAGAACTAGAGGTTAGGGAAGGGTAGGCAAAGTCATGTAAAACATGTCGTATAAAACGTGACTGCCTTCTCAGATAAGGTAGCTTCATATTTTCCCCTATAAGGAGCTATTTGGTGATTGGATTGTCTATAAGCTACACCTTGGGCAAACTATATCAAATCTACTCAACAAAGCTGCCAAGGACTGTCTCACTCTTTCCCCCTCTATTCATAAGAGTTGTTTGATTAGTTTGGTTGGTTTTAAAGAGAAGTAATCTAACTTGATCTAATTTATGCAAAAACGGCAACTTTAGTGGCCCAAAATATCCAGAAAAGGATTAAATGCCCAAATCCAATCTTTCTTTTCACATAATTGTTTTTTCGAATTATACCTCATTTCTTTTCTTTCTGATTTCCATAAACTGTGACTCTAAATTTGAATAACAAAATGCCAGCTAATGAATGATCTAATCTGTTTCTGACTCATATAACACTTGGTTCATATGTGTATGGCTTGTTTTTACTCCTCAAGTCTTTCTTTGAATTTCTTAAAGATTTAAACTAGAGAGCAGGCCCAGCAGCCTGCTGAGGGGCAGAGCCGCCCCCCACCCCCCCGCGCCTGCCAGGTAGGGGAACTGTGACCACGGACAGAAAAGGCCCAGTGGCCCGCGGCGGGACAGAGCTTCCAATCACTTCTGCAAGGTAGGCGGGCCTGCGACCCACCGGCAGAAGAGGAGCAGCGACCTGCTGAGAGGCAGAGCCGCCCCCTCCCCCTGCACCGGCAAGGTAGAGGGAACTGTGACCACACACAGAGCAGGCCCAGCGGCCTGCTGAGGGGCAGAGCCACCCCCCACCCCCCGCGCCTGCCAGGTGACCACCGACAGAAAAGGCCCAGTGGCCCACGGCAGGACAGAGCTTCCAATCACTCCTGCAAGGTAGGCGGGCCTGCGACCCACTGGCAGAAGAGGAGCAGCGGCCTGCTGAGAGGCAGAGCCGCCCCCTCCCCCCTGCGCCTGCAAGGTAGACGGAACTGTGACCACCATCAGAACAGGCCAGACCTGCAACCGAGAGACAGAACAGGCCCAGTGGCCTGAGGAAGGGTAGAGCCGCCCCCCCCCCCGCGCCTGCAAGGTAGGCGGACCTGCGACCCACTGGCAGTACAGCCCCAGAGGCCTGCAGAGGGGCAGTGCCGCTGCCTGCGCCTGCAAAGTAGACAGAACTGTGACCACCGACAGAACAAGCCTAGCGGCCCGCAGAGGGACAGAGCCGCCGCCCGCGCCTGCAAGGGAGACTTTGCAACTATACAAGACCAATATAAATTTATAGGGGGAAAATTTAATAGCACAACAGTTTCACCAAGTAGAAAGGAACGCGAACAGTATGAAGAGACAAGGAAAGAAAGGACCACAAGCATTGCAGGTCAACTCAACGTTAGAAGAGGTAATAGCTGCAGCAGATGGAATGTCAGATAAAGAATTCAGGATATACATGCTTCAGATGATCTGGAGTCTCAAGGAAGACATCAG